CAAGCTATATGAAATCAGTTAGAGCACATCGAGGGAAGGATCAAAGTATTCACGTACAATTGCACTCCTATTGAGCATTGGGTATTAGCGGGTTTCTGTTCGGTCAAGTCCTAATTGGGCATTGCATGTTCACTTACAACCTGCTGAGCTACTGCTTGAGAGGCAAGAAGGCCGAAAAGAGCGAGAACGACAGTAAATGAAGGGAATTGCATTTTGATAGTTTTTGGATATTCAACTGGTTTGTTGGGTTCAGATGAACTGTGCAATCAACCTTGAGTAAGAGGAAATGTTGGGCTTTTATATCGTTTATATGAGCCCTTGAGGAGGCGATCCGTACCTCTTAACGGACCTGAAGATGGAAATATCACCCCGTCACCGACGGAGAAGCCCATGTGCCAAGGTTCCGATTAATGATCAACTTCATAGAAAACACGGCCGACAGATACCTCCCGATGGCCGAAATTCGGTATCGAAGACAACGACAACGCCCGAATTACTGCGCCAGGGTTCAGCCTTTCTATGCACGTAAGTGAGCCCAAGATACGGTTCATATATCAAGCAAAGCTTCTTATATGAGATTGCAGGCTGGCCGGGTTAACGAGTCATAGCGACCGCATACTGCGGCCTCCAGGAGCATGGTCTATCCACGATTATCAATCTTGGCAGCATCCCCTTGCACAAAACTTTCCTCAGATGCTTCTCCATACGATTGCCCGTACGATGACACGTATAGCAGGACAGAGCCCCCGCGGGTTTCGAGCTATGTTCCTAGGTACGTGGAGAGCCAGTGCGGACCTTGGTTCAAATGGTAACACAACTTAGCAATACGACCACAGAAATCGCCATGCTACAAAGTCTTTGACATCAGGTGGTCGTAAGCTTTGGTGCTTTGATCAAGGTAGAAGAGTTGCCATTTCATGAAGAGCGATGAGGGGACTTGCAGAAAGACAGACGTACCTAGGCGAAGGTGTCGACGACGTGAGGTCTTTACCAGTTGCAAAATTGAAAGCTCGGTAAAATACTCCTTTTCGTACGCATTTTCCCGTCTTGGCAGAGCCAGTAAGTACTGCGTCGTTGGATGTTTAGAAAGCTAGTCATTTGCCCGTAATATGGATGGCTCCGTAACCATCACTTTGCCTGTAACACAACCGTGATCGGTGAGGTACCCCTGTTGAAGCTTAAATCAGGTGCTAGAATTCAAATGGGCAGACCATACGGAGTACTGCGTACGGATGCTGGTTGACGTGCTGACATTGGATACGGAGAACAGCGAAAGTGAGAAGGTGAGGACCGGGCGCCGCATACCTGAGGTGGACCGTGGAAGGTACTTATGTGGCTGAGCGCGCGACACGTGACACTGACGCCACTCCCGCGTCTCACGCAAGGCGACTTCACCTTACATCACCAGCCTCATCAGCCTTGTGGTACCGCGCGCTCTTGACTCGATTTCCTTCCATCCGGCATTATCACAAACACCTCTGCTCTTCACTCGCCGCGATCACAATGTCCACCACTGCACCAGAGACTGCCGAACAGGCGCCCACCGCGCCCAACACGCAAGAGACGACAACCGATGCCGCCGCCGCCCCAGCTGACGCCGTGGCTGTCCCCGAGGCAGTCGCGCCCGGCCCAGAGCCCAAAGCCATTACCCGCAAAGACATGTCTCTTCGCGAGTTCTTGACCAAGATGGACGACTATGCTCCCATTGTACGTCTCGGAGACAATTTGTGGGGGAACGAATACTGTCTGACAGCTTACACCTGCTTAGATCCCTGACGCAGTCACAAACTACTACATGACCAAGGCCGGCCTCCCCCCACCACCGCAGACCGACCCGCGCCTGGCGCGCCTGCTCGCTCTCGCAACACAAAAGTTCATAGCCGATATCTCTGCCGACGCATATCAGTACAGCCGCATTCGCGCGTCAAACTCCAATGCCAATAATCCCATGGGCAACCTCGGTGCTGCGGCAGGATTCCCTATCCCGGGCCAACCCACAGGTCCAGCCGGCGCAAAGGACCAAAGTCGCGGAGGTCCTCTTGGTATCCAAAGACCTGGCTACGGCGGTGGTGGACAGGGCGGCAGCCAGAACAGGACCGTTCTTACCATGGAGGATCTCGGCATGGCTGTCGGTGAGTATGGAGTCAACGTCAAGAGAAGCGAATTTTATCGATAAGGGGGGTTGGTCAGAGCAGCTGGGAGCTGCCAATATTTCTTTGGGCTGGTGTACATATACCACGGCGTTGGACGGACTTGGGTATGGCGTCAACGGGGTTTTACATGACCGGGAGGTTCGGCTTTGGACGAGCACTACGTTAGAGGTGCTCGAAGTTTTACGATATGGACGTCCCTTCGGCTAGCAGAGGATCGTCATCGGCACAAGGCCCCAAATTCTTATGCTACAGTATATATCGCTGGTATCTTGACAGTGTTGTACAAATGTTCTATCCACTCCTTGACAGGACGCCGTCCGCATGCTGATGAACTTTTGAAATCCCGAGACCGTCGCCGCTTCTTACATCCTAGACCAGATGAAGGGCTTTCTCGTGCTGGCAATAGTTAGCTCCCAAGAACCTCAATATTGCAAGATCGATTCGACGCACGGCGAGAATTCTCCCAGCTTGTGACCGACCATGTCTTCCGTAATCGTAACGTCAATGTACGCCTTGCCGTTGTAGACCTGGAACTTGAGGCCGACAAAATTGGGCAGGATGGTGGCGGAACGGGCCTGCGTCCGGATGGGCACAACCTTCTGTCCGGGGGCGGGGCGCACGATGGGGAGACTATTTACATCAAGGTCAGGTTCGAGGGTGGTTCGATTGAGGAGTGTTCAGGGAGGGGAGGGAGTCCTTACGGGACAATGTGAGGTCCTATAGGCAAGCTGTCAGTTCACCAGGTTCGATTCGACATCACGTATTTGAGACTCACCCTTCCACACGGATCGCTTCAGGAGGTGTCGTGTTGGCTGCATTTTGGCGACTCCTTTTGCGATATGGAATTGATAGCTACTTCCACCTCCAGATGACTTCCGGGCTGTCGCGATGCCACGCGGGAAGAATTTCCGAGCTTCCAGAATTTGGCCGAGTCACGTGAACAGCCGGTGCTCCGTGCTTCGGACCCGACTCCAAAGTACCGGCTTAGCTTAGTAATCACGGCTCATTGCACTCCAGCGTCACTTCCATTCTCAACCACTGTGACTGCCCAAAAAAAGTTGTTAGATCCAACACTACGAGATTTGTCCTCTATTGGAACTGTCCAAATGCTTTGATGTCTTACATGAAGCAACCAAGTTTGGAGAGAATGTTCGAATTGTAGCATTTGTACTGTCTTGTTCTGCTTTTCAGTGCACGCTCGGACGGCCGTTCCACGCTGTTTCAGACGATAATGGCAATGGTAAAGGTGGAAAGCTATCAGTCAACTTATTTCCTCAACCGCGAACTATGTTGAAACGACTCAGTCCAAGGTTTATCAGGATTGCAGCATCCAAGGATCTCCCTGTTGGCCGACAAACTCCCAAAGTCTACTGAGAGAAGACCGCCGGCCACAAATCTAATGAGTCTACCTTGAACGGCTTGTTCCCCTGATCTCATGTCTCTTAGATCACGTCATTGTACTCTGTAAGCCTACGTCCCCTTTCTCTGCCAGCCGTCTGCTTGGACAGCCACATCCTCTATTTGTAACCTTCTCGCGCCGCCGTCCCGAGTTCGCGGCTCAGTTTGGCCCCCTCGCAGCTCTCAAGTCCCATCTTGATGATCTTTGTGGGGTTTGGCGATCCCTTAATTCTAGGTGCTATACCAGTGACCACGCGGAGGGAATTCCCCCGGCGACTTGAAACAGCCAACTTTATCCCCCCCCCCCCTTTGGGACCAACGACACCTCAAAGCCTGTTGGCGAGCCGCGAGTCCGACTTGTCAGTCTCTTTCCGTCTACTGTTGCGTCGCACTTTGCTTTTCTCGTCTCTCATGCCGGCACTTGTCCCCCGCGGGAAATTTGCGCAAATACCGGAGCATGTCACCCTCCGCCACTCAACTGCCTGCCAGATTATCCCCGATCACCCCTCGATGATGATGCCGTGTAGCCAAACAACTTCAGACTAGACCTGCGCGCAATCTAACCCAGGCGGCAAACAAAAACTCCCCAGTTAACTGTACGATAGTACGAAGCAGCCGCATTCCTCGGCACTCTCGGCACCAACGTGACCATGAACCACAGTTTGGCGCCTGCAAAGTCCCAGGAGGTGCAGCAACTCCAGCAGAACCAGCACTAGGAGGTCCAGGTCCCGAGATCGTGCTCTTCCCTACCGGGGACTACCCCACACGGCACATCGTCCATGCCAAGCAAGCTTAGTTTGGTGAGGCTCGCCGCTTCCACGGGCTCCAGAGTGTCCAGACTAGACTTTGGGAAGCAAAGTGACCGGCCCCCCTCGTTGATTGCGTTCCCTCTTTTCCCACAAATCGTGTGGTGTTTTGCCATTATATATGGGACGGAGCAAGGGACTCCGTCATGATATTGTAGGGGGGTGGCCTGGTGGTTCTCCTCCAAAGGTTCGCAACAGGCAACTTTTCCTGTCGACAGTCCACTATTGTCTATGTGTAGCCGGTCGGTACCATCTTTGCCATCCCGTCCCGCCCCCCCTGAACTGAACTGTAAACGAGGGATGGGAGAGAGAGACTGAGAGAGAGAGGGTCCCGGCCACGAGGATATAAAGTCTGCCATGCCTCGGAGCCACTCTGAGGTTGGTCTTGGCTTTTGCTTGGACTGTATCCGACCTTTTTACCTTCTTTTCTAGTCTAACCCTTTTCGTTCCTTTCTTCGATCAAGAATCATGAAGTTTTCCAACATTGCTCTTGGAGCTGCGTCTGTCGCATCGGTCCTGGCGGCCCCCATCGACGGCGCCAAGGAGAAGCGCGCCGGCAAGTTCCTCTTCACCGGTGTCAACGAGAGCGGTGGCGAATTCGGTCAGGGTACCCTTCCCGGACAGCTGGGTAAGGAGTATACATGGCCCAACAAGACTGCCATTGATGTGAGCAACACAAACACGATGATGCCATATGGCAGCTGACTTGGTGGTTCTAGACCCTTAGAGCCCAGGGCCTCAACACCTTCCGTATCGGAACGATGATGGAGCGTATCATTCCCGATAAGTTGACTGGCACGATCAACGAGACCTACTTCTCTGGTCTTGAGGATGTAAGTCTTTTGCGCAGTCTGTGGATGATGGAGATACGTAAGGTACACTAATACTTTGACTGCAGCTCGTCAAGGACGTCACCTCCAAGGGCTCCTACGCCGTCATCGACCCCCATAACTACGGTCGCTACTACGGCAACATCATCACCAGCTCCGCCGACTTTGGTGCGTGGTGGAAGACGGTCGCCGCCCGTTTCAAGGACAACGACAAGGTCATCTTTGACACCAACAACGAGTACCACGACATGGACAACACGCTTGTCCACGATCTGAACCAGGCCGCCATCACCAATATCCGAGCGGCGGGCGCCACGAAGCAGAACATCTTCATCGAGGGCAACTCGTACTCTGGCGCGTGGCACTGGATCGAGAGCGGCTCCGGCGACGCCCTCAAGAACCTCACAGACCCGTCCGACTCGACCGGCAAGCTTCTCTTCTACGAGATGCACCAGTACCTCGACACGGACGGCTCCGGTACCAACGAGGCCTGCGTCAGCAGCACCATTGGCGCTGAGCGCCTCGCTGTCGCCACGAAGTGGCTCAAGGACAACAACAAGCAGGGTGTTCTCGGCGAGATTGGCGCCGGTGTCAACACCCAGTGCGAGACTGCTGTCAAGGGTGCCATCCAGCACCTTGCGGATAACTCTGAGCAGTGGAGAGGTGTAGGTGTTTCCTGTTCTTAAACTGTTTCTCTTGTTTTGAACGCCGCTAACAATCGAAAATACAGGTACTCTGGTGGGCAGCCGGACCTTGGTGGGCGGACTACATGTACTCCATGGAGCCCACGACTGGAAAGGCGTACGGAACTTACCTCCCGATCCTCAAGAGCTTCATTTGAGGCTATTCCGGACATCGGGGTGGATACGTACCTTTTACGGGGTGCATATCGACGGAAGTGGAGCATGCGGCCGGCGCCACGTGATTTGGACGGCGGCGTTGTTGCCGGAAGACAAAGTTACCTGTCCGTGGACATGGGTGCTGAAGTCTGACGAAATTCTCAATGTAGATATTGATCGTGGGTATCCTGGCCCCTGGTGTACATATCGGGAATATGAAAAACCCAGTTTTCATTCGTGTTTGCTGCAATTGTAGTGATACTGGTGTAACTGTAAGCTTGTGACTGGATTTTACGACAATAACAACCGACTGATCATTGATACAATCGGCAGTTACCCTAGGTAAGGTAATTGTCATCCCATGAGGCGATAGGTGAGTGATAGCTGATGCTAGCGTTGGTTGATTATCAGCGATGCATGACCAAATCTCAGCTATAAGATGAGGCAAAAAGTGAGCTGTCTCAATCAGGCAGGTGGTGAATATATCTGACAGGATTCCCCACGTTGCAATTTACGAACGTGTCCTCTCACCTTGTTGGTATTGGCGTCGCTGGTCTCGTAGTCCGAGCCTGCAAGAAGAGCCTCCCATAACTCACAAGTCAGAAGAGCCCGCAATTAACACGAACCTCACAAATCCGGCCGCAACCCAAGAGCTCACGCAGGGAATCGGACTCGTCAAATTTCAAGACCCAGTGGCGTTTTCTCCAAGTTTCCAGCCACTGAATGCGTGGCATGAGGTCTTGGGCAGTTTATGTGTTAGTTACGGAGTAGTAGTCTAAGAACCTTTCCTTAGCTGCGGACAACTCAAAAGTCGCAACGTGCCGTCTTGCACCGTGTGCTTCAATGCAGACTTTAAAGAGGCAATCTGGTAGATAAACGGATTTCTTTGATACAGTGTTGTCGGAGGAAGAGATACCTAAGCCATGTGATAGATCATAGAGCTGAGGCTCCTATGGATACAGGCAACACACGCATGCGCAGACACCCTTGCATGACCCCGAAAAGACCAAAAAGAGTGCAGCGGAATGCTACAGAAACTGACAGAGCTTTGGACTACTACGTAAAAAAATTGTGCCATTTTGCAATTCGCCATCCCGCAGCCCGCTGGACCCCGAACTTAGCACACCTCTAAGGTAAGGTAGGTCCAGTAGGCGAGTAGGCGAGTAGGTACCTACCTAGGAGACCACCACCTTAATTGCAGTGCTGCACACTAAAAGGTACCTTATCCAGGGGACCTCCACCTCCACCACCTCCACCCCCCAGCCAGGCCACACACACAACCAACCCACTGGACGGGCGCCGTTTCGACCACCTCACCCTCTCCGAGTTTCTTCCCCATCGCCCCCCCCCCCAAGACGCTCTCGCCCTCACGCGCTAAACCGTACAAAAACTCGCCAGTTACATGCCGCGCCGTCTTCGCCTCTGCATCCTGCCAGCCTCCTCCTCCAGCTCTTCTCTTAATAAACGAACCAGCCCTCCCTCTCTCGCAACCACGGGGTTCTTCGCTGCCCTCGTCCTTCTTTCCAATTCTTCCCCAATCAAACTCCATCAGTTACGTCGCAAACCGCCAAAATGGTCAGCCCTCAGATGTACGTTGCCTCCTATCCGTTCCCCTCCGTCGCACCAAATCGCATTGCAAATCTCTGATTTCAATGTTTCCTTGCGCGCCTTCAGCAACGACGTCGAATACCTTTACTGACAATGCCGCAGCACCAACCTGATCATCATGCTCGGCATGGTGCAGGTCTCCCGCAAGGTCCCCTTCGAAGACCCCAATGTCCTGAACATGTGCCGCGCCGGCTACATTGCCAGCAACATCATCATCGCCATCATCTACCTCTACGTACAGGCCCAGATTAACAAGAAGAAGGGTGCGTTACTATTGTCTACATTACAACGTTATCGAAGCATTGGCTAATAAGTAACAGATCTCACCACGCTCAAGTACGTCGAGCCCCCAGCGATGGGATCCGCCGAGGAGGGCAAGCTCGTCACCACCACCATCCACGCCTACGACACCACCCAGCTCCGCCAGGCCTTCCGCTCCCAGGCCATGGGTATCGCCATGATGGCCTTCATGCACATCTACATGAAGTACACCAACCCCCTCCTGATCCAGTCCATCATCCCTCTCAAGAGCGCCCTCGAGAGCAACCTCGTCAAGATCCACGTCTTTGGCCAGCCCGCCGCCGGCGACCTCAAGCGTCCCTTCAAGGCCCCCGCCGGTTTCATGCAGGGTCTCCAGAGCGGCCCCGCTGCTAGCGATAAGAAGGCCATTGAGACTGCCGAGCGTGCCGGCCGCGGTGGTGCCAAGGAGGAGTAAACGCCTGCTCGCTCTCGTCGCCCGTCGTAGTTGGTGCTTTGGGGGGGGGGGGGAACGGACAGTCGGACAGTGAACAAAACACAAAATCAAAATAGGGGGTCATCATTGGTTATACAGGAGACATTTTCGGTTTCGCGCAAGGGTGGATATATATCTTACCGTTCCTACCTGGAGGCGATAACGGGATACGCTGGCACGGATGGAAACTAGATTTCCAATACCATGCGATTCTCTCGAAATTGGAGAGGCAAAACTCGGTACTGGTCGCGTAGATGCTTAGTCTCGTCAAGATACAGCTCATTAATCCGCACTCTGTTCGTGTTCGTCCTTCTCTGTCATGGTTATCTTACAGAGACATGATCAGTGCCTGACATGACACTCCGTAGCCTCTCTATACCAAAGGTAGTAGCTTCAGCCCGTGTCTGACAGCTCCGCCAGTTCCGTCCCCTCCTGCCACTTCGGTGTGGCTCGGTCGTGGCGGCAAGGCACGTGCGTTCGCGACTTCAGTAGTGACATAATCGTTTTCTCCAAAAAGTTGCCCCTCCGCGCGCACGCAGATTCACGTTTCCCACTTACACCCTTTACACTTCACCTTCCGTCTACACCACCACGACGCTTTAGACAGTCCGAATTGCTCCCCAACAGACAATCACAATGGTGCGCCCATTAACACCACCGCCAAATCCGGCAACAGCACCGCTGCCCGCCAGAACCCCCCCAACACCAGCAGCAATCCGTCGCATGGTGAGTGAATGAATCCTCAAACCCTCAGTTTTCCTCGGACCTCCTCAGGACTAAGACGAATTCCTACCGCAGGAAGAATCACGCCTGAAAGCAAAAGCAATTCGCGACCGCCGCGACGCCGAACTCGCCGCCTCGGGTGCAATCACGACTCCCAAAACCGCCTCGGGCTTCGTAGCCACCAACGACGTCCACATCACCAACGCCGGCGCCTCCCAAGCAACAGACATCTCCCGTAAACGCCCACACTCGTCCATCTCAACGACAAATCCTTCAGCAGCAACGGAATCACACCCTTCAACGAACCGCGATGCCCGCGACACAAACGCCGCCCCGCGCCCGGCGCGCAACTTTGCCAAATTCGTCGACTACAATATGTCGGCCATGACAGACACAAAAGGCGGCTTCCTCACTGCAGAAGATGACCCGCATAACACGGCCCTCGTGCCCAAAGTGAAACCCGGCGGGCCACCCCAGGACGAGAAACCAAAAGGCATGTCCTCACAGGAATGGGAGCGCCTCCAGCTCCTCAAGAAACTCCGCCGGCAGAAAGCAGGGCCCTTTGAGCCGGGCCTCAGCGTCCTCGCCGACGCCACCATGCGCAAGAAGTGCGCCGACTGCTCCTCGTACGAAATCGACTTTGTCTGGGACGAGATTTTCGGTATCCAGGTCTGCCACGCCTGCAAGGAGAAGCTACCCGACAAATACTCGCTCCTCACAAAGACGGAGTGTAAAGAGGACTACCTCCTCACCGACGAGGAACTCAAAGACGCCGATCTCCTTCCCCACCTCTCGCGACCGAACCCGCACAAGTCGCACTGGCACGACATGATGCTGTTCCTCCGAATGCAGGTGGAAGAGTACGCCTTCACGACGAAATGGGGCTCGGCCGAGAAGCTCGACGCAGAGTTCGCCAAGCGTGAGGCTGACAAGAAGAGGCGCAAGGAGGCCAAGTTCAGGGATAAGCTCAACGATCTCAAGCGAAAGACCAGGACCGAGGCCATTCGCAGACAGCAGGCCATCACGGCGGCCGGCGCGGGGCCGAGAAAGTTTGGAGATTCGGTTGGCGGTGGCAAGCACGTTCACGATTGGGGACGAGCGGTTGAGAACGAGGAGGGTACAACGGTGAAGAAGTGCAATGGATGTGGCATGGAGGTCGAGGAGTTGGAATTCTAGTCCTCATATTCCTTTTTTTTGGGGGGGGGGGGGTCTCAAAGAGTAGACCTTTCTTCATTCGTAGCAGCGACGGCAACTCTGATTTTTCGTCGCAGTCTTAATACCCAGAATCATACAATCGTCTATTCTCTTCACCCGTGGAGAAAGAAACAAAAAAGAAACTATGTACGTAGAAACAGAGACCACTGTCCAGAGTCCACCAAACAACAAGCAAGCAAAGGGGTTTGGTCGATTTGGTTGGGCTGGTTGGTGAAGTGTAAGGGTATCGACGTGTGATGAACAATAATGATGCCCCAGTACAATATTACAACAGGATGCGGATCGGCCGCGCCGGTCCACGCCCCCTTATCCTATTCCATTTCATCCCCTCGTTTTCTGTCTTTTCCTTATCTGGCCCGCGAGCCCACTGCTGCAGCCAAAAGCCCCGAGGGTCTTATACTTCATGCCCAAAAAAACAAATTGCAAAAAAGAAGTCCCAAAACACCCTCTTCGTCTTCTTCTCTCATGCCCGGACACAATCAGCTCGGAGAGCAGACCATCTTTTCAGACATCCATCCCATAGCAAGTAATGACCCAAAGACGACGCCATTTCAACGGACGCTATGCTGCTGCTGCTGCTGTTGTTGTTGTATATTTTCTTCCCTCCCCCCCCCCCTAAATCCCTCTCCCTCTCTCTTTCTGTCTCTCCCTCACTCAACCAAAATCTCCGTCTACCGCGCGAAAACCTTCACTACGCCATCTCCACCACCGCTGACAACCCACTTGCCGTCCTGACTCCAGACGACAGAGCAGACACCCTCACCACGCATGATGCGGTGACTCGTAATCTCCTGCGTGCAGGATCGCTTCTCGAGGCTCCAGAATCGCAGCGAGGCATCATGACCTGCGCTGACAAGCTCGCGGCCGTCTGGACTAAGCGACAGGCCCGAAATCGATGCCGGGTGGGCCAGCATGTTGTAGGTACATTGGCCTGGGTGTTTAATCAGCACATCATCCTCGCACGTATTCAACTTTTGTGACTTACCGCTGTTGGCATCGAAAAAGCGGACAAACCGATCCTCATGTCCAGAAATAATGACGCCTTCAACCCCGGAGCCTGCCATGGACCTGCCTCCACCACCGGTTGGTCCACCACCGGCACTACCATCTTCCTCAGACAGCCCGCCCTGAGGCTGTTCCAAACCAACTGTTGTCGCAACAACAGCGTTGACACTGGTGTTGATTGAACCGTCGTATGTCTCGGAGCTGTCCATTGTGCCAGTCTGTTCACCTGTCCTGGTATCGTAGACGAGAATGGCTGCATCAGAGTAAGAGACGACAAACGTGTCGCCGCTAGGGCTGAGGGAAGTGATGCATGTAGGGCTAGCATCAGAGCCATCCGGCCTTTTAATGTTGTGGACCAGCGTGTGGTTGAAGGGGGAGCTCGACGCCATGTTGGGTTGCGGGGTGCTCGAAAAGGCACTTCCCGAACTCATCGAATTACCACGGACGCGACCTCTGCTGCCTGTTGGGCCAGCTCTATTCGTTCCCGGCTGAGGCGAGGTCAGCTGAGGCGGTGCGCTGACGGACCACAGACGGACAGATCCGTCAGCGCCGCCAGACACCAGCAGTATGCGATCGGGGCTTCCGTACTGGCTGTTCTGGCCGAAGACTGAGCCCAAAGTGGTCGGCAGCACGCACAATGCCCAGACGGCGTCGGTGTGGCCCTCGAGGGTAGCCTTGGGGTCGACTCTACCACGCTCCCATACCCTGATGGTAGCATCTTGACCCCCGGAAAAGATCCAGCCATCACCTTGGGCGCGACCACCGGTGGAGAAGTTTGGCGAAGGCGACCAGGACGTTAAACAGAGCACGCCTCCGGCGTGGCCACGATGAGAGAAGTTAGCTGTCACGTCGAGATCTGACGCAGCATTTGTCTGGCCGTGGTTATCGGCACGAGGAATGTGGAATCGCTTGATCATGCCATCATCGCCTGCTGTGCAGATTTCAGGTTCACCAGGACTGCCACCGCCAGAGAAGATGACGGTGCGTACAGTATCCAGATGGCCTCGTAGTCCAAAGCGCAGTTTGAAGTTGCCCGTCTCGGCCTTTTGAGCAGCCGAATTCAATGACAGCTCATGGTCTGCACTGCGTCTCCGAGACATTGATCCTTTGCGGCGATGGGAGCTCGGTCCACGGTTGGGCGATTTTGGAAGATTGTCTGCGGTGGGGAATGCATCGGTGTCGGGCCTGTTGGTGATATGCTGTAGAGATTGCGACGAGTTGGTATCGGCAAACGATCCATCGGAGAAATCCCATCCGTCGGTCTCAGGGACAGGGCGGCTAGGCTGAGATTCCTCCGTTGGTTCAACGCTGCTGATGGACTCGACGGCATGGCTGGGGCGTTGCATGTTGTCGTCGAGCATACGGCCAGTTGCCGACATTGGTTGAGGCCATTCGGTGCCAGCGGCATACATGACAGGAGGCGCAGGTTCTTGTGCGGCAGGTGGCATTTGCTGTTGGTGCTGTTGCTGTGGTTGATGCTGCTGCTGTTGCTGCTGCTGTTGCTGTTGCTGTTGCTGTTGCTGTAGTTGCTGTTGCTGATCGACAGGCTTGACTTGGAAACTCGTTGGTTGACTTCGCTGCATCGGGGGTGCATGATTCGGGGCGGGAGGTGGGCGGTTGGCTTCGCGGACATGGTTTTGCGGCACAAGAGACGATGAGGCAAAGGGGAAGGGCGGCTCCTGGAATGGCTTACCACCGGGTACGCCAAAAGGCTCACCTTCGCGCAAGTCTTCAAGTATCGGGAGAGGGGGTGAATCTCGCGGAGGTAAAGGATTTGCCGGGGTGATCATCAGATAGGTGAACTCGGCCTGGCACTGATCCAGGAAAGACTTGAGGTCGGCCCGTTGCGATTCATCGTCGGCTTTTTCAACGTCGAGCTCGCCACCATGGGCATCGAATGGCTTCTTGGAGGAAGCTGCATTACACTATTAGCTAATGCTTGGTCATTTGATAGAGCGCAGACTGAAAACTCACGTCGAAGCTTCTCCTGGACCAAGGCAGCGCGGTCCTTTTCAGCCTTTGCAGTGTCTTCGCCTGCTTTGGCACCTCCCTTGAGCTGTGCAGCCTGGTCTTTAACCTTCTTTTCGAGAATGGCGACATATTTCTTGAGCGCCTTTTGAGTTGCGTCGGCCCTTCTT